CCCGACTCCATCTTGTGCTCAGACTCCAGTCCACTGAGCTCCTCCTGCCTCTGTCTGCTCCTGCTCTGCTCAGCGAGCTGCTCGGGGCCTCCAGGAGCAGTGAGCTGTGCCCCCTGTATCCCAGCACAGCCCCTCTCCTCCTCCCAGTGCAGCTGCCCCACAGGAGCACTTTCCCCAGCGCCAGGGAGACTGAGGGCTCCTCCAGCCCCTGGACAGAAGACAGGACAAGAGAAGAGCACTGAGCTGCACTGGGAGACTCAGCTGACCAGCCCTCCAGCACTGGAACAAGAATGAAACACAGGAGACACTGGAGCTGCTAAAAATGAGATTGTAACTAAATTATCTTCTGAAATTAAGTACTGTGAACTAAAAATAATGTAAAATCATAAACAATAATCAAATAATTAAAATACCACCAAAAATAATTTAACAAATCAAAGTAATTCAATACATATTATACCAAAAATATAAACACATCTTAAAAATATAAGATAGTAACATGTGCAAAGATGCTATTTCTTAATGAAGTCTTCTGACATTCAGTATTGCTCGTCTAAATCCTAACATCACAGTTCTGAAAACAATCCAGAATATAACTCTTGGGTGAAGATGAAGAATTAGAAGCTTTCCGGACTTTCCCAGCTGAGGGAGGATATGCAGGATGTTGGAAACTTACAATCAATCACCAAGGCAGCAGAACGAGAGCTGCTTTCTCTCTCTCTCACAGAGACGCCAGTTATTCCATTGTTTCTGCTTCATTTTCACCACAGCTGGATCAGGTCCTGAGCTCGGGATGGGTGTGAAGCACATCACAGCTCAGGAAATGAACTACAGCTCAAGCTGCAGGTGCTCCAGTGTCTGTAGCTCTCCTGGGCAATGTAAAACTGACTTTCTCTGTAGCTTGTCTTTCCAACCTATAGGAATTTAGCTGAGAGCTTTGAGTGTTTGTGTTTTGCGAAGGTCTTTGGAAAAAGCTAAACATAAAACTGCAAGAAAAACTATCTTCTTGATGTTCACAAATTGTGGTTCAAATCTGCATCCACAACTTCAACCTCAACACAACCTGACTCACAACGTCACAAGACCGAGGGGTAAATTCAGTTCACATGAGCCTCATCACAAACATTTCACTATAAAGAAGGCTCTTTTCAAATGTATTTCATACAACTCCCCAGAAATTTAACACAAATGCCCTGTTTTACTATGAAAATTATGAAACTTTTAAAAAACAAAAAGAAAAGAAATTAACTGTATCTACCAGATTTTATGTCAGATTTTCCACAAAGCATTAATGGTTACAGAGTTTCAATATTCATATATGACGATGTTTCTTTTTAACTGTCTGATTGCTATGAATCGAAACTGAAAATTAGATTGAGACACTGGGACTTCAGATTACTTTCAAATATATTGTGTAGACATTAAGGGAGCTTTCAAACATAGATAAGATAGTATCGTGTGTTCCTTTTTAAATAAACATAGCCAGCGTTTGTTATAGAAGTGTTTTGATCATCTGATGTGGGAAATATTGGAACTAAGAGTCAATACATCCACTGAAATACCCAGCACTACACACTGTTCAGCTACAGAGCCTTTATATCCACACACATCATTGTGATACAACAGCCGGGGCGATCTTATCTTCTGAAATTAAGTACTGTGAACTAAAAATAATGTAAAATCATAAACAATAATTCGTTTGTCTGATCACCGTTCTTTATATTGACGGAGAAATGACTGGAGCTCACAGGCAGAATCCCCTCTCCCACGCCAGAAAGCTGCGATCCCGCATCCCTGACACAGCGCTACCGCGGGCTGCAATCCGTCGAGTTTTGCTCGGAAACAAGTAACATCCTGGGGCTAATCCTGCAATTTCAGGTCGGAGAACGTGTGGACCCCGCTCCAGGTGCGGCCAACCGCTAAAACACACGAGCGCTATCCGACAGGAGGGCCGGTGTTTCAGTCCGGGTGACTCCAGCCCGCAGCTCGTCCACACTTACCGGCCCCTGTCCCTCTCCCTCTCGGCTCCTCTGTGACCCGGGACAGACCCGGACCCCACCGCCCCCGACTCCTTCTCCAGCAGCCGGGACCCCGGCGGACACCAGCCCACACTAACGGGTCAGCCGACCAAATACGGCGTCTGCACCCTCCGCCCCCCCTAACCCAGAGCTCTCTTGGCGGTGGAAATGCAATATTTGAAGTCCATCAAAACGTGCAAAAAAAGTACAATTGTCGTATGTAAAACGATGACTTGCTGCCTTCAGATTGTGTCCGGCAAAAATAGTTATGTTTTTTTTTTCTGTTAACTTTCGTTTTCTTATTTAATGTTTAATAAAACGCCGTCAGCCCCTCTCAGGTCGTACTTCCTGGAGCTGCGGCCGGTTCAAAACAACCAAAGAGCGCCGGCCGACAGACAAGAGCGTCTGTACCCGGCTAGAGTCCTCCGTCCACCGCCTGGCGCCACCTAGCGAGTGCGGGTGGAAACGCCCGCGAGTTGCGCCGCCAGTGCTCAGTCCGAGCTTTACTGTCCCCCGCGGAGAATTTGTTTCACGCCGCAGTCCAGTACAGCGGTGCAGCACAGGCAAAGACAGAGCAACATTACCGACAAAGACGACGGTGTTTCTGGAAGTAGGAGAGTTTACTTGACTCAGAGTGAGATCGCAGCCAGGCTGAAGGAATTCCTGAGTCAGCCGTACAGCCCTCGGGAGGTGTAAATTCACAATGGAGGGGTATGTAATGCTTGTTCTCCTTGGTATTATGTCCGGATTATAATAGGTTAATAAACATTTTTATAAGGATATGTTATAGTATTGTAACGCTACGGGGTTCACGTGGGCGCCCTCGCCTGCTGCCTGCATCAGGTCGCCCCCCCCACCGTTGGGGACTCGAACCCGGGCCTCCGGCGTCACTCAACAGGGACCCAGCCTGGTGAGCTAAAGAGAGATCTCCCCCCCAGCCCAGCGGCTGTGGGCCCTGCTATCACAGGGAAGGGCGGTGACGTCACCGCTCTGGTAAGCCGGCTCTTACACGCTCAATGGTGGCCGTATGCGTTACACTCTATAAGCAAATTAATTCAAACTTTTAAATATAGCAAAAGAGGTACTCACAGATGGTGGAGAGTAGGTAATGATTCAAATACATTATCATGCCACATTCGCATAATAATAGAGGTACATTGCAATACAGAGTGGAGGACCAACTCTGGTGTGCCACTAGGTGGCGATGTGTATTAGTGATGGTAATCAAGCCTGCTTAACTAGAGGTCCCGTCACAACGGGTCAGTTACAACAACTGAACAAATTTAGCACACGGGGTGCACTGACTTGCGGACTAGTTATTGCAGGACCATCTGGAGACCACCTGCAGCTCTGAGCTCAACTGCAATGAAAAAACGTGCAGAAACCAGGCTGTACGTGTGCTCAGTGCAGTGCTGAGGCTCAGCATTGCTGTGGTTCTACTTAGCGCGAAGTGCAGGGGCTCTGGATCAGAACATTTCAATTAGTCTGATCAGTAAGTTAACATCTAGGCCCTTATTATTACTTTTTCTCTCTCGGGTCAGTATATAAGTGAATGTTCCTGGCAATTTCATATTTAATGTGAGAACAGCATTTATGTTAAAATAACCAGGTACGTCTATGTAACCAATAACGCGATAGTTAACTGACGCAGCCACCTACCTGAACTAATAATGCAATACTCAATTGTAATTAAACACTAAGCAAACGAGAGCAGCAGCTTCAGGATTGAGTTTGAACAGGCGTCCTATTACAGCAGCTTTTATTTCCATTGATGAATAAAGATTCTTCATACATAAGCAAATCAAATAATTATTTCAGTCACATGCAGGGACTACATTTGTGTCAGTAGTACTGTTAATATAAATCTTGTGCACC